GCCCCGGCCCCGGCTCGCCTCCGGCCCCGGCCCCGGCTAGGCTCCGGCTCGCCTCCCCGCCGCCACTGCAGAGCCTGAGGAGGTGCGGCTGGAGTCGGGACCTGCGCGGGGCGGGGCCGCCGGCGAGGGGGCGACGGGGCGGAGCCGCGCGGAAAGGTGGGGTCGGGAGGGGCGGGGCCCGAGGGAAGGACCCTGACGTGGCAGCGCCGGAGCCCGGCCCGGCCGAGGAGTATTAACCCACCGGCTGCAGAGGGCGGTGGGCGAGGCGTGCAGGCACGCGCAGCTACACATCCATCCGTCCGTTCGGTGCAGACTGATTTAGCACCTACTCTGTGCTAAGCTCTGGGGAGTAAACCCAGCCCTACAGATTAGGGGGAGAATTAAAACAACACTCCAGCTGGATGTGCTCAGGGCCCTGGAGCTCAGACGCACCCACCCTCGCCAGGCTTCCGGGATCGGTAGGAGCGGGGCGGGGGGAGGGAGGACACCAGCCATCGCCAATGCCTCCCCACCACCCTAAACCCCTATTCCGCAGCCCGTGTAGCTCTCTCCAGGTACATTGACTGGGTTTCCACTTTTCAAGGCAAAGAACAGCGCCCTGGGAATACCGATTGAATAAAGACAGGGTCGCTGTCCTCCAGGAACGACGTCTGGAACAGGTGGGGACACAGACAATTGCAGCGTGGAGTGATTAGTGCTGTGGAATGAATGAATGAATGAATGAATGAATCCTACCTTCAGCTCCTCTCCCACGCCAGACCCTCACCTCCACCCCAAAGACATCAAGGAATCTAGAAAGATATATTTGGAGAAGCCACATTTGCTTGAAGGATGAATGGAACTTTAAAAACTTTCTCTTTTTTCCACCTCATTCTTACCTGCGTTGTTCCAGAAATTGTTGTGAAGTTATGATTCTGACAACTGGCGGTGGAAGGTGGGTGTGGGGAGAAAAGCTCGGCCCCAGAGGTGTTCTTCCTCCATTTCCCCACGCCCCACTCTCCCAGGTGGTTAGGTCAGAGATGAGGTTATCAGAAAGATGGTGGTCAACTGTGCTGAGGGTCAGGATCTTAAATTCCCCATGGGCTGCTCCAAGGCGTAGACCAGAGTCTTGTAAGAATGTAGCTGGTCTAAAGCACCAGCTCCATAGGCTATGGTCACGGGCAGGCACGTTTGGGGTAGGTATGGAACGGGGGTTTGTAATTGGGACAGGCCCGTGAAGCGGCTTCAGTTGAATGCACAATATTTTGTGTACGGATAAGAACATTTTTCTGGGAAGATTTTATCAGATTTTAAAGGGACCCCGACATCCCCTCTCCCCACCCTTCCAAAAAAGGTTAAGAAACCGTATTGACCCTAGGGCTCCTGGCTTCCTTCCTAGACTAAGAGAACCGATGAGAAGTTGGGGAAGGGGCCAAAGCGCTTAAGGGAGGGAGAAATTTTGGCGGGCTTAAGGTCGGCGGGGTTCCACAAGGACTACAACTCCCAGAGATCCATGCGTCAAACCCCGAGCTTATTGGCCAGTGGGAAGAACCCTCTCCTAACGAAACACATCCACAAGCCAATAGGCAGGGGCTATTGCCGGGCACTCCAGCCACCGCTCACCTATCAGAGGACTGGGGCTGATGCTTCCGGTCGCTGCTCGGGGCTTCTGACCCGCGGTCTAGTGAGGCGGTGCGACTCAGGGGAGACCGAGGTTTTGTTCGGTGGTGAGACCGAAGGTATTTCGTCTCCATTGTCGCCGGGCCTGGTGGGTGTGGGGAGGCTGGAGGTGAGCCGGGAGGGAGGCGGAGCGGCACGTGGGGTTGGGGACCCAGGATAGGAGGAGGGAGATCCAGGCGTGCGGAGAGGACGAGGAGCAGGGGCGGGCCCGCACGTGAGGGGCTGGAGGATGAGGACCGAGTGAGTACAGTCTCTGTGACTCACACGTGACAGTTCTGGAAATGTGTCCTGAGGAAGTCTTCCAAGGTAAAGAAAATGCTTTTATGCATAAAGACCTTTATCACAGCGTTATTTATTGTAGGACAACGTTGGCTACAACCAGGTGTCTCAATAGCGAGTAGTAGTAGTTCAGGAAACTGTATCTTCACTGAGTGTTTATGAGGTGGCTTCTAAAAATAATATACAGAGCTTTTAAATAACACGGCAAAATGCTAATATGTAATGTTCAGTGAAAAAAGTGATACCAAGTTGTATAGTATGATTGAGAAAGTTTAAGAAACCAAAACACCGTAGAAAAAGATCTGGAGGGATGTAGTAATAATTTTCCTCGGATTAATGGTTTTTTGTGAATTCTCTTTTTAGTTTTTTACCGTTCTTGTGTATGATTTCTTTCTCCAGATAAGTGTGAAGAACTTGAAATTATTTTATAGTGGAAACACAGTAAACAGAGAAACAAGTTGCGGGGGGGTATAGATACCTCTGTTTAAACCTACTGGAAATGCTCCGGTTCACCTAAGTTCTTTGAGCCTCACCGTGAGTTGTCTTTAAAGAAGATAAAAAATAGAATAATTAAATGATCATATTCTGAGCACCAGGTCCTGGTTCGGACTACCTTTCCCATGACCCAACTAACACAGTGGTCTTTTCTTTCTCTAAAACACCTAGGACCCTTGATTTCAGAAAGCTTATAGTCTAGAATTGAGAGAGAATGGTTGGCTTCAGGCAAAATGTAAATTTTTTAAAAAGGTAGAGAATAATTGAGGAGTACCTGAAAATCCTCTGAACCTTCATCCTCTTGTCTTTCTGATCGTTTACAGTGAGGTTCTCAATTCCTTTGGCTTTAACTACTAACCCTGTGTCGGTGACTCCCGAATCCTTATCTCTGACATTGCTACCTTACAAATACCTTACATGAAGCACATTTAATATTAAATTTATCACACACTACACACCCTTCTTATCTTCGAAGTATGCTCTGCCTTCTGTATCTCTGGTTAGTATTCAGTAGTTTCCAAAGCTAAAAATCTGGGTGTTATCCTCAATTCTTCTTTCTTCCTTTCTACTCATATTCTATCTGATACCATTTTCTATTCCGTCTGCCTTAGAAGCATCTCTTGAACCTGGCCCTCTTTCTCTACTGAAATAGCTACAAACTTGGTTCACTTTCTCATTATGGCATTCAAACTATTGGCCCCTTATTAAACTTGTCAACTTTCTTCTCAGGTCCATCATGCACATTATCACGTGCATGTGTGCTAGTTCCTCCAGATTCCAGATTCTTCAGGAAACCCTTTATGACCAGAGAGATAAAGTTGGAAAGGTATATCAATATCATAATATAAGGACTTAAATTCCTAATTTTGTTTTGTTTCGCTTTGGCCGCTGGCCAGTGCGGGGATCTGAACTCATTGACCTTGCTGTTATATTACTGCACTCTACTCAGCTGAGCTAACGGTGAGCTCAGACCTTTTGAAAGAACTTTTTTATATGTACTGTAGACTGTGGAGACTCATCAAAGATTTTTGATCAGAAGAGCAAAATGATCAGAACTATACTTTTTAGAAAGATTATTCTGCCCAACCACACGAATCATCCAGGCTCTTTTGGGAAGAAGAGACTGACATCAAGGGGACTTCTCTTTGTTCTACCTTAAAGATAAGGAAGATGTGGTCAGGACCTGTACTAGCACAGGAGTAGAAGGGACTGGAGCAGATTTTTGTAATTATTGTTAGGTTTTTGAGAAAAATATGACAAATTTCTTCTTGGTACTAAAGATGAAAATATTAAAATTTATTTTTCTAAAAAAACCTATGGAAACTTACTATCATGTTTGGTTTTACTTTATTCACAAATCTTTATCTTGTGCTATCCTGGCTGCTCACACCCTCAGTGACATTAGACTGAATTGGATGGCACTGAATTTAAAACATGTCATTTAAATTGCCTTTGATATAATTGGCCCATTTGAAATTTTCTCTGCCCAGGGAACTGTATCATGCATTATTTATCAATAAAAGTTTTTAAAAAGTGCATAAGAGGATATTAGTGAAAAACATACATAGACCAGTGGGATAGAGATCACAGTTTTCTTCATTAGTAGTGACAGAGGACTTATTTCTCCATTTAGCAAGCCACTGCAGAACCACTTAATGTGATATCATGTATTAGCCTGTTCCTTCTCAGTAAAAGATCCTAAGAACAAGAACGAAGCTAGCAAGGAGGTATGAGAAATAACAGAAAAGTTAAAAGCAAATCACCAGGCAGTTTGGTAGAGAATACATTTCTTTGGATTTAGAGTCTGAAGACAACTTCTCAAGTTCTGTCTTTGAAACTTAACCCCTCTGTAAAACAGGGCTGAAAGATGTCCGTTGGATTCAGTGACAGGGATGGCACTGGTGGCTTGCTGAGAGCTGTTTTGGAGAAGAGATCGTAATGAATAATATTATATCTAATACTTATATAATCTATTTATAAAAAATATTTGAGACAGCCATCTACTGTGTTGATTGGTGTAATTTTCTCCATGAATAGCATCATAGTGGGGGTACATCCAAAAATTACAGTAACTTGAAGACAAGCAGGATTAGTAGTCAAAATGCATGTTTTTTTTTTTTTGGTTTACCTGACGTCTGCCAGTGGCTTGAAATTTTGAACCGAGAACTGCTACCGTAAGAGTGCTGTTATTTTGCCTATAGTGTTAATCTTTAGTATCCTGATTTTGTGATCAGGGAAGTTTGAACTGGAAGTGCCTAAATATACATTTTGGCTGCATTCTAAATGGCCAAGTATAAAAACCAATATTCCACACAGGCAATCATGGTGAAGTAGCAGGACAAAAGAGAAATCTGAAATGTCATCTCTGTTTTTTCTTCTTTCTATTGAAATGTAATTGGTTTTACATATTCGTGGGATACAGAGTTGAGTTTTCAATACCTGTGAACACTGGCCAGCCACCAAAAAAAATCAAAACAAAA